AATCAATTTATTGCGCAAACTTTCGCAAATTGTCAAATATGTACCTATATGTATGTATGTATGTATGTAATCCGGAGGCATGGATTGAATTTGACGTATAAGCATAGTAAACAAATAGAGTAAGTAGAAAAATTAATTAGCTTAATTTCTTTCGCAATCGCATAAGGCAATACAATTCAGATATTTAGTCATATGGCTTGCATCTACTTAAACGGTTTGTGTGATTGGAGCCCATCTCGTGAAAATACGGCCGAATATTCTCGGATAGAACCAAATAGGAACTAAGGTTCCATATGTATATACTATATGTTTAATGTCCTTATTGTCCTATTGTTTTATTTTAGTAATCTTATTCTCTGTATTAACGTTCGCCGGTGGTCGGAATCATTCCCCCGTGCCTAAAATCACCCGGACAAAATCCTCCAGAAAAAATCCCCCGTAAAAAAATCTCCCCGAACAAAAATCCTCTGGATAAAATCCCCCCAAACAATACTCCCCCGGACAATAATAATCGGGAATATTGTTTGGAGGGGATTTTGTTCAGGGAGATTTTTTTCGGAGGATTTTTTCTGGAGAATTTAGTTCGGGTGATTTTATGCACAGGGGAATGATTCCGACCACCGGCGAACGTTAATACAGCGAATAAGATTACTAAAATAAAACAATTTCGTTTTTGCTCTTACTTTTAATATACATACATACATATATTGAAATAAAAATTGAAAACACACATTTAGGGTGATAAGAAACATGTTGTGATCGTTGTTGTCGTCACAGCAAAAATGCACCATCACCAAAAGGCAACAAACAACATTGAATGCAACAACTCACAGAAAGGAGAGACAACTCAACAATAACACTAAAACTGCTAATCAACTCAAACAACCCAGTTGGGATTAAAACCAGCTTCAAGACAAGGAAATTATTTAAATTATTGAGAGGGAAATCGAAGCAAGTAAATACATAGAATGTACATATGCACATTAGGGTGGTACAAAAATAAGTTAAGTCGTAGTTTTATTGCTCTCACCCCTAGGATTGTTCAGTACCGAAAAAAAGTACATATTTTTTATATATTTTTATTTTTTCAATTCTCAATTCTCAATTAACGAAGTTTAGTTCATATTCGAATGACAATAAAAATGCGAGGTGGACTTATCAGGCCATTCTTATTTTTTCTTTTTTTGTGTTAGTGAACGTTTAATGCGTCATTACTGCATGTATTTTCTTAATTTGCAATTATATTTATGGGATGTGAAAAAATGTGTGTGTGTGTGTTTGTATGATTGCCCACGCGCTTGTTTTAGGTCCACCCATACGTCTCAGCCTACAACCACTTTGCAATGGGGAACTGAAGAAAAAGCATTACATTAGGGTGACTCAACAAAAAAAGTTGCGGTTTTCCACCGGAAAAAAGATATTAGGTACATTTCAAGACTTCCGCCAAAATATACATATATGTATGCATTAAGATTTACGGGAGCTGAACTTGAAAATGGTAACAAAACATTTATTATTTTGATCCCGTTGATAAATTTTTTTAACATTTTTATGCAGGCGTTTTAAGCTTAAACTCTTTTATCAAGCGAGGTAATTTTTTGAAAAAAAAATTAAAAGCTACTTTTATTTTTGGAAGTATTTACTGGAAATCTTAATACCTATCCGGAATATTTTGGCGGAAATCTTAATATATAAATAAATGCACCCTAATGTATGTACATACATATGTATGTACATACGTGTGTACAAAAGAATGCTCAAATTGCCAATATGTATTTTGTCGTGCGGGGGCTAAAGAGATTTTCTGCTGCATTTCCTAATTAAAAAATTAAATTCATTTACAACACGTTTTTTTTGCTGCTCAGATGTAATCATGCATTCGTACGTACAATGTTGAAGATAATTACAAAACGGGCGCAATGCTGAGGATATTACTCTGTTATTGTTTATATTCCAATATCTTATAAACCATTTGTGGCACTAATTACTTGATTGAAAGCGTAATTAAATGATATATGCCCATTATAATGTCATTTCTTTTTCACAATTGCACATTCATACATACATGCATACATATAGAAAATGTATGCATTTGAAAACATATTGTGTATGTATGCGTGTGTGTATGGAAATGCCCATCCGTGAGAATGAGTTCACATTTCTAAGGCGAAAATGTTTCCTTGAATGGCAATTATTTTATGAAGAAGCTTTGACTAAACTTTGCAACAACATTAACAGTAGATATTTTGGTTGCATAAATGAAAAATTGCTTAACTCGACTTACAGATTTACATATGTACGTATTTTGGACGATACCGAAAATTAAGCTGTAGAGGTTACGCAGTCAATGCATTCTAATATTAGTGATATTGCATATTTTACGGCGTTTTATTGCCACTTTTGGAGTTCAACTCGATGCTACCAGGTTTTTGCTATCTAAAATGGCGGCGAGAAACTCTCCGCATTTATCTGTTCTTTCAACCATAGAGATTTAAATTACTTGGTATTTTCTGGGCCATTATACGATTGGCAAGCACATGTATATGTTAGGTTTCTCTGTTGATAGCGGCAGTCCCTTTTGTCGGTATGTTGACGACACTGATACTTTACAATGATTTGCTAGAAACTATTCATTCAAGAAATATATATATTACAAATGTCCAACCGCAGTGACGAAGACTATAAATATTTAACGACGTATATTGTTAGGCAGTACCGATACCAAAAGTACTCATAACTCGATTCTCAAAAGGATCGACAGAACCAGAGCTTTTAACTTTCCATTACGATTAGTAATCATTATTTTTTAGTGATTATTTTTCTTTCACAAGCCAGTCATTAATAATTAATTATAATTAAAAATTATCAGAAACAATCATGATTAATGGCCATAAGGTAAGGTACTACATTAAAGTGCAGGTGTGATGATTCTGAAAATTACCGTTGTTTTTTTTTATTTTTTTCCGTTGCCACTCATGCACATTTTTTCCGTATACATAATTCGAAAAACTTTTTATGCCTGAAAATGAGCAACACCTTCAACCAAATCTTACTAAGAAGTGGACTATGTATGTATGTTGACGAAAGTGTGAATGTTGCTAAGTTTTACACCAAATTTGGATCTATGATGTACATACATATATGTATATAATATATGCAGTTTTGTTGTAGTATGGGCAATATTTTTATAAAAAATTTGCAAATAAAATAAAAAAAAAAACCGCTGCTGTTCTTTTTTTGTTAATTTGTTTCGTTTTTGTTATTCTCCTTGTGCAATTATCTTATGTTATGTAGTGATTCTCATCATATCACACACCTAGGTCTAAAGTGCGATCATCTCAAAAAAAATTTTGGACGATTTTTTGCATAAATCAATTCATATGACTTAGTAAATCCAATTAAGGGAAATATTTTTGTTTAACGATTATATACATTTAACTAAGAAACTACTGTTATACCTGTTTTTGTATTAATTGCGTTGAATCTGTGCGATCCCCGAGCAGTTAAATTTCCCTCTCTGAATTTTTAGTAAACTCACTTCAGATCTAGGTGTGCGATATGTATACTAACGGCTTTGCAATATATTACTCACAAGTTGAAATAAATCATAAAATAAAAAAACCAAAAATAATCGAATAATTACTATATTAATCGTATACTTAAAAAAATCAAAAATAATTTAAAATAATCAAACAATTCTATTAATCATGCAATTAAAAAATTTCAAAAATAATTGAAAATAATCAAGAATAACAAAATAATCAGGTAATTAAAATTAATTAATTAATTTTTTTTTTAAGTAATTGATTATTAATCATTAAAAAGGTGCAAATAAGCATATTTAATGATTAAACGGTTACCTAAAAAACATGCTTTAATTAATAATCATTATGATTATCAATCATTATTTAACACGTCTGGACAGAACCCGATTTTTAAAAGTACTGATACTGAGTACTCCAAAGTACTCAGTGCTTACAAAAGAACTCGAAAGCAGAGCTGTTAAGTAGTGGTTATAAATTGTAATGATTACCGATTTAAGTAATTATTATTTTTTTTTAACTGCTAAATGATTAATTCCCATTATTTCCACTTTTAAATTAATAATTACCGAGTACCATTAAAAATTATCAAAAAATAATCGTATTTTTAGCCAATTGGAAGAAAAAAATAAAAAATAATCAAAAAAGCTAATGGGATTAGTTTTACAATAAAATGAATTTTTTTTAGATTATTTTTGATTAAGTAAAATTATGTAAATAATTTTAAATAAAATGTATTGCTCCGACGGAAAAAAATGTTTTGTCGGCAAACATATGTATGTAGCTGTGAAATACGGTGTTACGTTGTTCTTTCAAATAACCATAGATAACAGGGATGTTTCGTGCTGTTACGCTCTGGAATTCCCTCTCTCTTGCAAATATTTTGGGTTATTGAATGCATTTCGAGTAAAAGCTTGCAAGTACTAGTAACAATTCGTAAAAATTTTTTGATATTGAATGGACTTATTGATACTAAAAAACCCGATCCTCAAAAATACTCGATACTTCCCAACACTAACGACATATCATTCTACATACAATTGTGTAATTTGGAAAGAATCTATAAAAAGAATTTATAGAAAAAAAAACAGAAACGGCGGCACGCTATTTTTTCACAATATATTTGCTGGACTACCATTATCACTTACATACTTTGGTGTTTTGCGATATGAAAAAAAAATACGTTTTCATTACACCGACATACAAAAACAACTGATGTACGAATTTTATATATTATGAATTCTGCATTTCCCAAAATTTCAATTTTCCAAACAAATATATAGAAATGTACATACATGGATTCAGAGTGCCAGTTCACACTCTATTACTATACACATTTTGCTATGCCAATATTTTCCCGACGACAAAAAAAACTACTTCAGGAATACACTTATTAAAAAATTTATTATACTTCTTCATGGATTTTGAACACAAAAAAAAACCCATTCAATCACTCACCTCAAAGAATTCCATTGCATTCGTAGTTTCACCAATTTCAATTTCATATCCATAAACGAACGCATTTCCAAGTCCTCTAACTGTGAATGTGATATTTTCAAGCTTATATTCACGTCCGGATCAAATTTATTCGACAAAGCATCGACGATCTGATGGAACGAGTCCACCTTCTCGCACGACAGCTCCACATAGTTGTCAGCATAGATGGGTTCACAGGTACAGGGCGACAGCTCGGGACGCACGGCACAATGCACCGAAGCGACATTGGTTATACTCCAAACAGCATAGACAAAGGATGCCATTTTGCGGCTGCGTGTTTTCGCTGCGTGTGCGCTTCAACGAAGGATAAAGTTCAAGACGATTTCAATTGCCTTTGCCACACTTTCGTCACTTAGGCGTGGAATATTTAATCAGATGTATTTGTATTTTTTGTTTGTTTGTTTGTTTGTTTAAAACCACTAACACAAATTAAAAACAGAACAAAAACAATAAATATATGCACAACGCTGGCTGTACTGTTTTCAAAAGTTGCTTAGTTGTTTGTTTTTTGTGTTGTTGCAGTCAATCCTTATCAATCTGATGACTTTCACGCCACTTAGTATACAAATTTCATCACAAAACAATGCGCCGTTAAGCTCATATCAGTATACGCGTGTGTGTTTGTGTGTTTGAATGTATGCGTTTCCGTTTGATTGTATGTGTGTACGTGCCGGCTTAACAACGCTTATCACTGTTGCGTTTATCGCCGCTCAAGTCCGTCGTACATATGTTGTAGGCGTACTAACTTTTATGTGTAGCTGGCTGCTTGTTGTTGTTAGCTTCTGTCCGCTGCCGATGATTTTGATGTTAGGGCGCGCGCGCACTCAAAATCATGCACTGAGCGCGTTGCAAGGATCAAAGCGGCGCAGCGTAGTGTGTGCGTGTTGGAGTGTAAAAAGGCAGGCCACAGGCAGCGTAAGTGCCTTGGACTTTGTTGGTTGTTTTGTTTTGTTTTTTTTTTAGTGCTAACTGCTTCGTCTTTACTGTGTTTGGGGGTTTTTGCACGATTTCGGGATTTTAACGTATTAACGCAGGCTTGCGCGGAATTTCCATATTGTAAAGTAATTATTATTTTTTTTTTTCCAAAATTCTTTAAATAGTTATTTCACTGTGGATTGTTTGAAATCACTTTTCAATACAAGTTTTAAGATTTTCTTTAACAAAAATCGATGTAGAAAGTTGAAGATTTTATTTTTATTTTTTTCGTTTGAGTAATGCCCTTAATTCGTGTGTCTGTATTTACTGATCTCAATTTGAGCATGCATATGTAGGTATATAAAATGTTAACATTTGACATCTAGGCAGCAACAAGTGGCCGCGTATCGCTCGAAATAATCTAACAGGCACCCTCTAAAATTCCCCGTTCATGCGGAATTTCTAGCTTTTGTGAGCAATGAGAATTTTTAATTTTTTTTTTTTTGTATTTTTCAACTCGACTTCAACTTTTCGATTTGAATGTTTAACGAGTTTTTTTTCCACTTTTCAGTTAATCAACTTTACTTTTTTTAAGTTGTTTTTTTTTCTTTTAAAGGATGTGTTCAAAAATTTTACTCGATTTTTCTTCTAGCTACAAACCCGTTATATGCGATCTTTGTACTTTGCTTGTTTCGCCGCTTCAACAAATATCAAAATTTAATCTTTTCCTCATTCAATCGTATGCAGGGTATTGTTCATATATGTATATAAATAATATTTTCATATATATATGTACATATAGATATTTAATTTAATTTACAATTTATAAAATTTTCTGAGCGTTTGCAGTTTTTACTGCTGATATGCGCGCACTGATCGATGGTTGTTGTGTTGTTCACACAGTTCACTTCGGTTCGGTTCAGTTCAGTTCAGTTTAGTTCAATCAATTGAAAATCGTTGCTCCGCTATTGACGTCCGTTTGCCAACACGATCCGATTACGACTGGGAAAACAATTCACTGTGACGATGGAGGATAGTAGCTACTCGTTAGGCGTTGTGAAGATCAGAATCGATTCTTGAATGGTGGTTGGCAGTAGTATATAGTAGCGGTGTTTTGATCGGCGCGCTGCTAGTCGCTTTGTATGGGTGCTGAGGCCGGTGCCGGTGCTGATGCTGATGCTGTTGCTGGCGATGTTGATCGCTGTTGATCGTGCTTGTCAAAGTATTGGAAGCGTTGCTGTGTTCGGTGTTATCGCACCGCACCGAGTTACTACTGTTCTCCACATACAAGCCGAAATATACGAGTATAACGACAGATCGCCGCTGGTCAGCAGCAGCTCCAGCTTCTTCAGCCGTTTTCCCCACATACATATGTATGTAATATGTATGGTGGTCTGCCAACTATCTATTGTTTGTTGGTATTCTCGTAAGTTTTTGACTTGCTTTGTTGTTGCTGCTGCTGATGTTGCGCTTGTCGAGTGCAATTCTGAATCAATTTGAACCGTCCGATCGATTGTACTCGGCTGGCTGTCTTGTCGATCCGCCGATTGCAGCAGCATCAGCAGCAATGCAAGTGAGCCCCATGCGTGCGGGTGTGTGTGTGTGACTGTTGTTATGATTGCTGCTGTTGCTCCTGCAATGGTTTCACTTGCTGCCATTGCAACAGATTTTTTTGTTCATGTTTTTGATGATGATGGCTCGAAAGTTTTTATCAGCTGCTGTTGCTTTAAACACATCGTATAGCCAATGCATTAACTATTTAGCTAATTGTACATGCGATACGTCGGACAGTAGAAAGCAACAGCTTCTGGGCATTTAAACAGTTTTGCTATTGTTTCTACTATCTACATACATATGTAGCTCTTTGGAGTCTCCATTGATTTTTGCCGACTGTTGCTAATTATTTAAGTAGTGTTATCTCATTTAAAGTGGCAAATTCGATTATCGGCAGCTTTTCAAGGAGTGATTAAAAAGCGCATTTGCATGCCCATTTAAATATAAGGATGTACTTAAGTTTATACACTGCCCTGAAAAAGTGTGGACTCACTTTGTATTTAACTCTTTAATTACCCCACAACATCACACTGTCACCGCCTAATTTAGCTGTTCGCTTTATACATTGAGGTGCGTGCCGTTCATTCAATTTTCTGCGGCAGTACATTCGCCATTTGCTACCAAAAATTTCGAATTTAGACTCATCGGCCCATAACACCTGTTTCCATTGCTCGATAGACCAATTTTTTTATTCTTTTGCCCATTTGAGTCGTTTACGAACGTTTACCGGTCGCAACAATGTTTTTTTTTTTGGCAGCGACCCGTCCATACAAACCAAAACGAATTTTCCAAGTGAGTCCAAACTTTTGCAGAGCAGTGTATGTACAAATGTGCGGTCACACATAGTATATTTGTAGTACCCTGAAGGAAAGGCTGAGGTACAACATTGGTGCGGTAAATTTTCTATCAAATGTAGACCAATCTAAAAATTTAACAAAAAAAACTCCACTTTAATAAATTTATGATACTCAAGTTGTGCTGTCACCATCCCTAGGTTGCATCTCTGGTCTGTGTAACATCTCAAAATCATACACCACACATATCCACATGTAAAATTTTTTTTTGTTATTTAATTTTAGCTTTTTTTTCATAAAAATATAGTTAATACTTAAAAATAAACCGTATAAATCCAATTTCCAAACTTGCGCAGAATGTATTTTAAAAAATATATCAACAAACTTTTTAATTCGAACTCTTAGAAATATGTATGTTCAGTATGCGGTGTTGCAGCCTATTCAATTTTGAAGTAGTTTAGACTTACCGTTGATTTTTGGCAATTTTGTTCTTTCGGGTTCGCTGAAATCCGACTACTTCTTTGGTGGCGGTACTTTATGAGCAGGAAATTTAGTTTCACTGCTCTCGTACGTAAGTCGGTTTGTTGAAGAGTACTCTCAGAGAGCAGGCGTGAGAGTCGAGTGGCGAATAAATTGGCCGTCTGTGGTTGCAGCTTTACGACGTACAGTGGGAGAAATTACGAAAAAGCTGGCCAATATTCAAAAATCAAGGTTGTTCGACGGTTGCGAATCATGGTAATTTGTCAAGAGAAAGGTCCATTGCGTAGTCGATGAAAAGTATAAGGCACCTTTTTTTTTGTATCTTCTTCACTAGAGTTTGAACTAGAGTTTGTGCTGCTTTTCTCATTGGCTCCAAAATTGTGCTTCGGAAACTTAATTTTAAAATAGTGGTTAAAGCACTTAATTATCTTTTGCGGGTATCCTGATGGTCACTTATGTCATTTATTGAAAAACAAAAAAATATTGGAAACAAATTTTTGTTAAAGTCAGTTTTTGCTGTTCAATAAATGACCTTTGGGTGAAGATGCATAGATACTACCATGTTTCGGGCCCGGCGAAGTCGATCAGCCTTAGTCCGTTATCGCACGTTTCGTCGTGGAGGCCGAATTTTCCGACAGCGGCGTCAAAAATCCCTTCCCTGCCCACCTTGGAATTGAAATCGCCAAGCACGGTTTTCATAGCAGAGGCTTACAGTAGAATTTAATCGCAAATATATTTGTAAAACATTTGATCCCGTTATATCCCTGTAGTATTTGTATTTTTTTTTTGCGTTTTCTAAAAAAGGGACAAAAAAGGCCCACCTATTAAGGAGTTAGAGGGATAAAATGTTCTGCACATATGTTCTTCGTCATATTTTACATAAATCTGCTGAACACATCGTATGTCTAAAATGTAAGGATCACATAGTTTCCTAAGCCGATTTCCCATATGAAAGTTTTGTACAAATTGGATTTGAAAATGTTTTAGGAAATGTACCTGTGATGCACATAACCGAGTAACCTTTAGGTCCTTTAGAGAACCCACCGGTCCAGTTCTTACAAGAACCGAAGAACGGTTCCGGATGAACCGAAACTTGATTCCAAAAGAACCGAAAAAATAAGTAAAAAGAACAGAAAACCCGTTCCAAAAGAACAGAAAACAGATCATACAGAACCGAAAATCGGCCACGAAGCACACTAGGCCTAGACGGAACCGGCTCTTTAAATACTTTAATAATCACAAGCATGGACATTAGGATGGTCAAAAATAGTTAAGTCGGAACTTTAATGCTCTCACCCCCTAGCATTGTTCTATATCGAAAAAAAGTATACCGTTTTTTATTTCGAAATAAAAAATGTTTCAAATAGCTCAAAGCGCTAAAAGTTTTCCATGTATCTTATATGCGAAAAAACAACTTTTCGTGGAAATGGCCTAGAATTCTTTAAAATCAATACTTTTCGATCGGAAAACTCTGGGCTCGAATCTTAACATCCGCTCACGGATCGAAAACGAACGAAAGAAAATTACGTCAGGCAGTATAAGCTGAATGGGACAAAGAGAACGTTCACGTATGTCATAATCCGAAATATGTGTTTTTACGTGACGAGTAGTACGATATCGTATGTGACGATTCGAGCCCTGGTTCTCTTCAGGAGACTTTCAATAATAATACATACCCAATTGATTATTTAACCATTTTTTTATACTAACGATTTTTTATTGGTCCCCCCATTGCATTATTCGGAGTGTTTGGCGGACCTATAAATTATAGTTATGTACTATGAAAGAATGTTTGGGAATCTTCTGAAGAGAAGAGAACCGATCGAAAAAAAATTTATTTCAAAGAATTTTATGCAATTTCCACGAAAAGGTTTTTTTCCCCATATAAAATATATGGAAAACTTTGAGCTTTTTGAGCGACACCTCTAAATAATTTTTGTTTAAAATAAAAGAATAGGGGTATATTTATTTCGGTATAGAACAATCCTAGTGGGTGAAGGGTTCGACATTACTTTTTCACATGCATTTTTGGACCACCCTAACATATATACATACACATATATGTATATATGTATGCATCTTCAATTTAGATTCTACATATACAGTGAGTGTCAGTCAAAATCGTACAGCAAATTTGTTTTACATATTTTGAAAATATTTTGTTTTATTTAAATTTTATGAATTTTTAATAAAAATATAGTTCAAAGTTTCTAGCTTTGTAAAATTTGCATCAAAATTCCACACTTTTTATTCAGGAAATTTGAAGTCGCTACAAAATACCGTTGATTTTTTGACAATTCTTCTTTTTTGTTGATGGTGCTGCGAATTTTCATCCATATAACGCATGAGACCAATTCCATCTCAAATTATGCAAGCCGACTGCACCTATCTCTCCGAATCACTTACAATTTTAGTATATTAATTATTCTACTTGGAAAATAAGCGCATACGTATTTTTTATTTGTCGATATCATCAAAATTGCTCGTTCATGTACTTTTGAAAAATGACTCATCAAAATTGCATTCTCAAGAATCAGAATTTGTTTTATTTTAATTTGTATTATATGGAAGAAAATGCGCAGTACCGTCAACAAAAAAAAGAAATTAAAAAATTGTCAAAAATGAACGGTATTTTGTAGCGACTTCAAATTTCTGAATAAAAGGTGTGAAATTTTGATGCAAATTTGACGATTTTTTTTCTTATTATGTATACCAAAGTAAGAAACTTTGACTTTTATGGATTTTTTGCAGTATAAACTATATTTTTATTAAAAATTAATAAAATTTAAATAAAACCAAATATTTTCAAAATATGGTAAAAAATTTACTGTACGATTTTAACTGACACTCACTGTATATTTGTAAGGTAACGTTATTAAAATTTCAAATATTAAATACTAGAGCAGATAAAGTTTCCTACTATTCAATAAATTATCTTCCAAAAAAAAAAAAACTGATAAGAGCAATTTCAATGGAATATTACAAAAAAAAAAGAGATTCGTAGCACCATCTGAAACAACTTACATATATGTAAACTGTACAAACGCACATGAATATAATCCTACAAATTCCCATAAATATGTACACAAATATCTTTAGCGCCATACAACATCTAAGTGTTGTCAATTGCCACTTCAACTTTGCTGATAACAATTGCATGTCTACAAATATGTATGTATATGGATGCACTTACATACATATATGTATGTATGTATGTATGCCTTTGGTGTCACATTCATTGTGATTATCACGTTTTCTGTCACAGTATTTTCATATTCTATATATTTAGGTATATTTATTTGTATAAGATAAGGCGTTGTAATTGATTGGCTGTAAATACACGCAAAGTCACTAAAAAGCATGTGCAACGCATGCCAATGTTTTTGTTATTGTGTCCATATGTAGATGTATGTATATTTACAAAAAGTACTCGTGTAAAAGTCAATTCGGTTTCACATTACAAAAACATACAAAATTAAAGGCACCCTTTGGATGAGGAACGATGATCGCAAGAATAAAGAAATAGTACTCTTACACTGAAAAAAAAACACATCAGCTGCATGACGAATTGCTTAGCCGATCCAATTCAGTGATAGCAGTTTTGTAGATTTTACAAAAAAATTGAACCTAAATGGTTTCAGTGATAGCCCCGAATAATTTCCAATTCCTTAGATATATTTGGGATCGGAACATGGCTTACTAGTTTATCTAAAGCAGCGATCGGCAGACCAAAGC